GGTCCTAAAACTGCCGGCGGCTATTTTAAACCCTGCTGAAGGTGCAAAATAAAATCCGTAAACGGACGTATCTTACTTGATTTAGCATTAATTTTACTGCAACTGGCTAAAAATTAAGTAAAGATTGCTTAAACATTGCTTAAACATTGCTTAAAAATAGTAATAAATTCCAATTCCTGTGAATAAAGCACGAATTTCGAAGCGCAATTCCATTGAAAAGGGCAACCTGTTGCCCCGGTGCTGCCCCCGCACTGTTTGGGCAATGGGGGCAATTGCCCCTGTGGCTCCGGCGCCCCTGCTGCGCATGCTCAACGTCAAACGCGGATAAACACTTCGGCTTTCTTGTTTGTTTCGTTTTGAAAGTTTTTCTCCAGGAAAACCCCACAAAAACCCCACATAATTTTATTTATTTAAATCAATTAGTAAGTAAGATGTTCCCAATGCATGTTGATAAAAATTTAGTATATATTTCCCTCTTAAACGTTGCCAAAGCAGTAATAGCTACGGATACGAAGACGAGATTTTCTCACTATTTTATATTCGATTTTAAGTCGCTGTTGTACAGATTTTTAGACTTTTTTGTGTTTTATTAAGAGTCAACAGTCATACATAAGACATACTATACTGCGATCGTGACTAAAACACCAAACGAGTACATACGAGTAACATACGAGTAACACACAAGTACATACGAGTACATACGAGCTAGTAACACACGAGTACATACGAGTAACATACGAGTACATACAAATAACACACGAGTACATACGAGTAACATACGAGTAAAACACAAGTACATACGAGTACATACGAGTAGAATACGAGTACATACGAGTAAAATACGACTAGTAAACTTGTTTTTGGTGTTTGTAGATTGAATACAGGCAAAAAGATCGTCTTCTCTGTCGAAAAACGTGGAATGGGGGAACGGGGAATGGAGGAACGGGGAATGGGGGGAACGGAGAACGGGGAATGGAGGAACGAGTAACGGGGGGAGGGGTCGAGCAATTATGAATTATTATTAATACGTAATATTAATCATATGTACGGGGGGAAAAGAACAGAAAAAAGAAACAGAAATTCGACAGGATAAACGGGAATCGGGGAATTATGAAACTATAAAACGGACTCTGGTGTCTTGGGAATTAGAAAACCGCTCAATGAATTAAAACTAGTAAAGAAATTTAGCGAAGCTTTCCTTTATTAGTACAGCGTATCATAAAAAAGTCAATCCACATTGCTTATGTCCGATCATTAAGTAATATTAATAATAATAACATTGCTTATCATTACTAATATACTTGCTATATAATAAAACAAACTTAAGGACTAGATGCAAGCTCAAGGCGGCCCTTATGCTCCATATGATATCTTAAAGTGATTATCCTATTTCAGATATCTTACAAAGCAAAACTAACAAAACACAAAATACTCCAAAATACGCAGATTTTAAGTTAGCAATTTAAGTTGGCAAGTACGTTTCTAAAGGACCCAGCCGAACTCTCCTGCAAGCCTTTGGACGTGCTCCACCTTGAGAAGGGGAGGAAAGTCTGGAGGAACGAGAACGTCGCCAAGAAAGCTTGGATACTTTGCTCTGATGCAGGCTGATCGGAAATGAAAATGCACGTTCTGAGGCTCACTTGAAAACTGGATTTGTTCTGCAGGGCCTCAGTTAACATACAAGCTGGAGGGGGGGGGGGGCATTTGCCCCCAGTCCCCCCTTGTGCCCCCCCCCTTCACGAAATTTCCTAAATTTATACAAACAAATCAGCGAAGAATAACAAATTGATAAACGGAACGTACGTTTTAGGCTTTATCCTTTGTCCTTGTTTAACAAAATCGATTTAAAGGACTGTGTCACCGCGTGCGCATCCTACGTGTTTCTAACACTAAGTAATGATAAATTATTGTTAATATTTTTTAAATTCTTTGTGTGTTTTTTCCTTCTTTTATTTCAAATAGAAGTATAGTTAGGATAAATTTTAGAAAATTTAGATGCTCAGACGGCAGGAAATGGCATTTTTGGGCTTGAAATTTCAAAAATTTTCTGGGGGAGTTAATGCCTCCAGACCCCCTATTCATTCGCGGTATGTCGGCCACACACGTGACCCACGGCCATTGCTATCCCCCTTTAATAATAAGTAATGGATAAATTATAATATTTCTTTTATTTTTTCTGCATTTTTTCCTTCTTTTATTTCAAATACAAGTATAATTAGCATAAATTTTAGAGCAAATTTAGACGCTCATAAAGCAGGAAATGGTATTTGAAAGGTTCAAATTTAAAACAGTTTTTGGGGGAGTATGTCGGCCACACACCGTGGCCGTCGGCCATTGCTGTCCCCCTCTAATATATTATCTAAGATCCCTTTTCAAAAAATACCCCCCCCCCCACGGGAAAATCCTTAAAAAAGGCCCTGTTGTCCTGTATTTCGGTCTCGGAACTGTCGTATGTCGCGGTATACGTTAACTGTGTAGTTCGTATATTTGCCTAGCCACATGTTGAGGCTATGTGAGGATTGTAAGTTTATCACCTAGTACTATTTTATGTAGATGCAGTTAGTGAGTTAGGTTTTGTGCATGCTCACATGGTTTTGAAAGCAAACCATGCCGTGAAATATGTGAAGCCTATGGTTGGTGTCATGTATCTAACTATCTAGGTATAATACCTAAAAGTACATGTTGTACAAACTACAAAGTTGTGGTTTATAGAATCTGGCAGACCTCCCCCCGCCCCCTGTCTCCTTTTTCCACCCTCCTCCCCCCCTCGCCCCTCCATTTCTTCCGTTCCCCGTTCGCCCACTTCCCGTTCTCCCATTCCCCGTCCCCCATTCCCCGTTCCAGGTTTTAAAGATAGCCGGTTTCAGTCTATTTCACGTTTTTCGACAGAGAAGACGATCTTTTTGCCTGTATTCAATCTACAAACACTACAAACACTAAAAACAAGTTTACTAGTCGTATTTTACTCGTATGTACTTGTGTTTTACTCGTACGTACTCGTGTGTTACTCGTATGTACTCGTATGTACTCGTGTGGTGTTTTAAGGTTTGCGATTTTCTTCTCGCGCCGGCAACGCAACGCCTTTGCAACGGGTTAAATTTCATTGCGTTACTCGCGCGAGTGAAGTGGTGACACGAGCAATGATAACTTAGCCGCGTCGCAACTGTTTGCATGAAAAAACCGGGCACAAACGTCACTGACAACAAAATGGCGTCGAAGAAAGAACTTGTGGTCATAGCTGCAATGCTTTTGCTGGAAGATGACGAGGAGGTTAAAGAAAAGAAACGTATTTGGAGCCGCACTGGCTTCTAGAGAGAAAAAACAAAGGTTATTTCGATCAGCTTCTTCTCGATGTGGCTGCCCACGACACAACAGGATTTGAAAAATGTATGCGAATGGATTTTGATCATTTGAAAAAGATAGTTGATAATCTATCTGAAACGCTTTACAAGAAAGACACAATAATGCCGCCTTATTGCGTAAATCAATCAAGCCAGCAGAAATGTGTTGTTTAACGCTTCGATATTTGGCAGCGCTACAGCACGCTGTCCGTACAGAAGCGAATTTCATTGGCTATCTTAAAATAGCCCATGCGTTTCCTGCTCAAACAATGCCTGGGTAATTCGATATTTTCGGCAATCGTTGCCGAAAGTTCAAGCATTTCAACTTTCGGCAACGATTGCCGAGAATATCGGGTTGCAATTGCGTTGCCGCGCCAGATATGTTACACGGGCAATTTCATCACTCGCGCGAGTAACGCAATGAAATTTAACCCGGGCGAGCTTGAAAAATATGCCCGGCCACGGTGGGATTCGAACCTACGACCTCTGGAATACTAGCCCAATGCTCTTCCAACTGAGCTACGCGGTCAGGACGGTTCGAGTAAGTGATATTTCGGAACAGTATCTAGTTCCTTCAAT